GTAAGAGTGTGTGCATGCCATTTTTGTGCAATTCTGGGATGTTTTTTTAAGTAAAAATAAGTCGACGTGTAAATGGTTATGTGTATGTGCTATTCTAAAAAACGCGCAAGGAGTTGCGATTCTGCATTTTTTCCCAATTTTGCAGTTAATTTGTCATAATTAAGCAGTTTTGTTACATAAATTTCTAGCATAAGTGTAATTCGGAGTAGATGTTGGAAAAAGTTTGAGTAAATAAAAATAAAAGAAACAGGTCTTGGCGGCGAAAAAAAAATAGAGGGTTGCTGTAGCAGAGTTGGTTGCCAAATTTTCGCCAAAAAAATCACCAAGTTACCACAATCCAAAGATCAACCGATTCCCCCCCCCAAACACTGGAACAACATTTGCGTAATCTACATTACAGCAGTGATGAATGATTTGAAGGAGGAGTGATAAGACAGTTTTGGGTACATCCTGATAATCCACATCTCTCCCTCTCAGTAAATCTCTACTTTATTACTGATTATGTAAATTAGCCCAAATAATTTATTTGGCTATCTTTATGACTCATAAATATTGCTCTGTTCATAAATAAAATCAAATGTCTATACTGCTGATATTTATATATTTTACAACTGGTGGATACTATTCAGCCATGACTTTTAAAATTTCTTCAAAACAGTCTCTCTTTTTAAATAAGTAAACTCACAAATGTGGTATGCATATGTTTGTATTGGCTGTCACTCATGTGTACCCAAAAGCATGTCAGTTTCAATGTTTTTGGATTGAATTATTAAGCAAAAGTACTTTACTTTTGTCTGCTTAAAAGAAGGATGTCAACATTAATGATTTGTAAAGGTTTTACGGTCGAAGAATGGGAAAATGCAAGAAGTGGACTTTGGCAAGCTGTAGCTGAATTTTAGCCTTGTTTTAGCCCTTCCAGGATGAGTGTGTCACATATGTGTTGGCAGCAACTGTATCTAAGAGCCAGGTGTTCATATATGAATTGTTTAAACTTACTCTTAGGATGGGTGTACAACATATGAATTTTTATACAGAACATTTAATTATTAGTTTTTGACACTAGATGTAGCCATATGTCTGTTATACACTGGTGTGCAAAAATTAAGGATGAAGTCGAAAAATTAGCATGTCAGCTGAACGAAGAGGCAGAGCGGACAGAAAGACCAATCAGGAGATTAAGTAAGGTGATGTACGGTAGCACATGCGCAGATATGCAGGTAGACGTGATGGGGGAGTGTCTGAGTAGTATAAAGCATATTATCAGTGTAAGATCAGTATTTCTGGCAAAGAGATTGCACGCCGTATAGCAGTTAAAATCACACCGAGTTGCTGCCTCAGCGAGAAATGGCAAATAATCAATCTGTTAGATGACATCTGGATGCTTTTACCTGAGGTCGAATCATTGGGAAGTTGGAGGAAGGTCGCAGTGTGACAAGTGTGGCTGCAGAGTTCGGAATTGCTCACAGCATCGTTTCACGACTTTGGAAACAATTTCAAACTACAGGAACAGCTACCCGAGGGTTTAGTAGTGGTCGCCCACGAGGAACCACACCCGCAGATGACCGGTATATTGCCTTACAGGCCAGAAGAAACAGGCAGCAGACAGTGGGAGAAATCGCTAGACACACAAGACAGGCGACTGGACGACTGATATCGCGTTTTACCGTGGCCAGAAGACTGCACGGTGGTGGTCTGTTTGCACGACACCCTGTACGGTGAGTACCTCTAACGCCTGCCCATCGGAGAAGGCGTTCTCTGTGGTGCCGGGAAACCGGAATTGGAGAGACAATGAATGGGGACGAGTCCTCTTTACAGACGAGAGCAGATTCAGTCTGAGTAGCAATTCTCATCGCATACTCATCTGGAGAGAGCGGGGAAGCCGCAATCATCCCTCGAACATCATTGAAGGGGACAGGTATGGAGGAGGCAGTGTTCTCGTTTGGGGAGGCATATGCTTGGTAGTCGTACAGATCTTCACATCTTCGACGCAGGTTCAGTCAACGGGACCCATTATTGTAACGAGATTCTTCTTCCATATGTGCGTCTTTTTAGAGGCGCTATGGGTCCGCAGTTCCTTTTCATGGACGACAATGCACCATGTCATCGCACAGTAGCTGCCGAACAGCTCTTACAGAGTGAGGATATTGAACGCATGGATTGGCCGGCACGATCTCCAGATCGCAATCCCATCGAGCATGTATAGGATTTTCTAGGCAGACGCTTGGGAACTCGTACCTTACCACCAGTAACGATTCCAGAGCTTCGATTGGCGCTGCAAGACGAATGGGCAGCAATGCCTCAACAACTCATTGACACCCTCATTCTCAGCACGGGCAGACGCTGTGAAACCTGCCTAGCAGTCAGGGGAGATCATATCCCCTGTTAAAGACCGGATGTTTCTTGCTAGACACCCATCACAGGGATGTTTCGGCCTTCAGTCGCATTGCGCTCCATGCTACTTTTTCAATAAAGCTTCTTTTTATCCTCTGATTTCTTCTTTTAGTAAGTGTTGCTTACATTACTCATGTCCTTGCGTATTGGGGATCTTACGGTATTAAATGTGTTGATTTGGAAAGCTTTTGTACAAAGTTATATTGAAAAAACCGTCTCGTCCTTAATTTTTGCACACCAGTGTAGTGGGGTTTATCGAGACTGGAGACTCTTAACCTTCATTCGTTGCAGTATTTTTTTAATTTTTATTATTTTCTTTCAGAAACGAAGCGGGGTTAATTTATATTTTAGCATACCCCTTGGATTATCACCAAGTTGTTGTTTCATTTATAGTAACCTGAGTAGTTGAATGTTATGGAAACCCTATTATGACATGATTGGTTGCTTGATTGCAGTGAATTTGCCTGAGGGGAAAATATTTGTAAGGGCTTATTTATGGGTTGGATTTTGGATTTGAATAGCAAAAATTTTTGGTGCAAAAATCACTGCTACACAAAACCAAAATAACAAGTCAAAGAATTGCACAAACTCGGTGTCCATGTACCGCCAAAAATCGCCCATCCTCACCAAATTTGAACATTCAACATTGACAACTACCTGGGTGTCCCTCTGATAATGTGGCAAAAATTGGAACAACTGAGCCATAAATTAAATTTATGCAAATTTGTTTTCCAAAGTTAGGCTTAGCAGTGCAGATTGCTCCTCCCAACAAGACCTTTTAGCATGCCGTCCCAAGAAAGCAGTTTGGTGACTGAGATGCCCGTCACAAAGGGGTTAAGTCAGTTCTACACAAATACCAAAAAAGTGCCGATGTATGAGTAATGAAATTAAATAAAAATTTTTAAGCAGAAATGTAAATAATACGGAAATACACTTTAAAACAGAAGGATCTATACTTGCTTTTAATATAAAATGCAATATTCATCACAAAATCTTGTGCAGAAACTTGATAAAATTAAAATTAAAGCTTTATTTAATCATTTAAGAAGGAACATAACTTTGCATCCTTAAAACTGGTTCTAAAAATCAAATTACTTATGATTAACAAAAAGGCACAGAATTTTTTTCTTTTTCTCTCTCTCGCTTTTTATTATATTTTTATAATATTTTTATATATATAATATTTTTTTTTTTTTTTTTTTTTTTGCATGTGTGTCTTTGTTAAAGTTGCAATATGCTAAATAATACTAAAGTAAAACAATAAAAAAAAAATTTAAAAAAGAAGGTTGCAACATTTCTTCAATGAAAAGCCCTGCCCACGTTTTTTCGCCTGAGCCACAGAGGCCAATGTGCACCACCGTGTAATCAAATTAAGTGACACTTTCATATTCAATAAAGGTAATTACACTAAATCATGCTTTTCTTTTTTAATATTTTTATGTAAATTTAAATATTCAGAAATCTAATCCATTTAAATTATTTATAATTTTGAAATTAAAAAGTACCATTTTGATAAATAGCAAATAAATATCTCTGATGTAATATAAGCAGCAATATAATTGATATAAAAATATTGAATTAATTTTAAAGCTCTTTTAAATGCCTTTAAGCTGGAGTAAAATCTACAATAATTTCTTGTAAAATCTACTTGATTATTTAAATTATGCTCAGTAGAGAAAATAGTAATATTTGACAAAGTTTTTTTTCTTTTTTTTTTTAATAACACTGAGAAAATTTTGCATAACTTTTATTATTATGAAAGTTTTTATAAGCTTTATTACACAATAACAATTGCAGCATCAAAATGTTTTCATAATTCCACAACTGAATTTTGACTGCATTAAATATTACTTCTAAATTATCTTCAAAAAAATAATTCTGCTGTAGCTACTAGAATTATTAAAATAATATCATTTTTAGGTGCTAAACTGTTCCATTCATCAGGCCTGAGTTCAATGACATTAATTTTTCACAGATTAGAAATTTTAAATCAAAAACTATCTTGTATAATTTTCAATTATCTCCATTTTAGTTACGAGACTGAAACATCCATCTATCACTCCCATTATAAAAAAGTTTTCTTTTGAAAAATTAGTTCTATTATTAGTTGATGCTTAGCAATCTGACTTACAAACCTTTTTTTCACTTTTCTTCCTATGGATTTACTCAACTTTAAAGCTAAATTTTCACGTTTTTCAAGAATATTTTCTGAGAGAATTGAGAAAATCCACCAATTACTCTTTTGGTTAATTCAATATGGAAAATACCAGGGCTATTTAAGAAAAGGGATTTCTTTGTGAAGAAATTTTTGGAGTAAATTGACATTGCACTTCGGGAAAACCATGAAAACCCCCCTACAACAAACCCATTTGCTAGGATTCAAGATTAAATTAATCACTCTATTAAGAATGCAGCTTAAAAAGTTTTCTGACTGCAGTGCTTTATTTATCTTTCTTGCATTATTAAACTTTAATAATGCAAGAAAGATAAATAAAATTTCTTTTCTCTTTTCTTGCATTATTAAACTCTACAAACATACATGCATAAAAAACTGAATATATCCTATAAGTGATTTACTAATAGGATGTGTATAAATCCAATGTACTTACCTAAATATAACAGACCACCAGTGGCAGAGCAGTGAAGTTACTTAACGCTGATAATTCAGTTCTAGAGAATGGGCTGGCAGCAGGGAGTTTTGTTGTTTTCCAATTCCACCCAATTTCCCTTAGAAATTGCTTCACGAAGGCATTTTCACCTTAGGCAGATAGCCCTGGAGACCTTTGCTGCAATTAAATAAAACTAAATATAAATATAAAGCAACAATTTTGTGTTTAGATTGTAGAGAATATAAAGTAATACTGATTTTTCTATCTCATGTAAAATATAAAATCTTTAACACTAATTTTTCAATTTGATTTTGATTAATTAAAGAAAAGCACGTGGGCGTGCTCAAGAACATAGCACTATTTTTAGTACTTTAAATGCAATATTTTTAAATCATGCTTCTCAGTATTATTTCATAGTTTAATTTCTAAAATTTTGCAGGTTCCCTCTCTGCCTCGCTTTTCACCTGAGACTTGAGGCAAGTGTACTTGCCTCACAGTTAATGCTTCAAGTAATGTATTAATTTACATTAACTTCTATTGCATTGTCTCCAAGGCTTCATAAATCTAAAGTTATCATTCATGGAAATTTTTGCATAAATATTTTTTATTTTAATATTTTGTATAAAACTGTTAACCATTCCTTGCCAACAAATTCTACTAAGTACCCTTGAAATACGAAAAGTTTGCTTTGCAATAAGAAAGTATGATTTTCCCTTTAATGGATGAATTAAAGCACATATTGACTGTCAGCCTATTTATTGCAAGAATTTTTTAGAAGAACGGAAGAACTTTTACAGCCATTCATAAAAAAAAAAAAAAAAAAAAAAAAAGTCTCAAAAAACTGAACAAGGGTTATTTCAAAACAGCAACATTATATATTTCAAACTACCTTTGTTAACAATGTCACAAAACAGAATCGCTCATATCAAAACTACGATTTTAATTAACGATACCTAAAATCAACTTTCGAATATCGTGTAAAATATTTCATAAGCGTAAAATGTAACACAAAATTATCAGAATTCTGAAAACATATTAACGAAACAACACGTTCTGTTCACAAAAGATGCTAAATCGTTTACTACCACTACCAAAAATCACCCCAATAAATACGCATGATAAAAACTTTCGCGATAAATAACAACAATAAGAAAAGTACTTTTATTAAATTTACCGCGAAATTAGCTTTGCACACAATAGATAAAGGAAATGTGAATGGCAACCCTGTTACTTAGCCAAATTTGGCGTCGTTTGAATCAATTGCTTAACAACAAAGTTCCATAGCTGTTTGCAAAGTTTACCTGTTGCGTTGGCCTTCTTTCAGTTTAATTTTCTATTTTTACTCAATTTGGAATAAAAATGAATCGTTGCCAGCTTCGAATACATTCATGCTTGTTTTTTTTGGCCCCTTTTTAGACTATATTGGTCGTACTTTCTGTTGACGCGTGCTTAACACCAGGTGCCTGGCGCCATAGCCCTACCCCTCATCGAATAACATGATAAAAGTTTCGAATTATGAGAAATATAACTGAATGTGCTAAATAATTAAATGAGCAAGAGTTTAAATTCATAATTGCTAATAGTTAAATACATATTTTTTCCTTAAGTACCTAATTACTAATCCATACATAATTAACTATTTTTTAACAACTATTTCACAGAAGAATACATGTACACACAAGAGAAACAAAATACGAAGTGCGACGCCTTAGTGCCACTAGTAAAAACAAAAAGCAATCAGGAGGAAAAAAGAACAATATACAATAAAGAATCTGAGCAACAATTTGCATAACACATATACAAAATTACACATTACTAACATTTAGGATCGCCCTTGGGCGTTTACTGAAATTGGGGTCCCTAGTATCATAACAATAGTTAACAACCACAGGATTGTCCAGAAGTTCCTGTTTATCATAAAATGCCCTAGATAGGCGGCAATAAAAATCACAAAGATCCTCTATTCTTAACTCTTTACGAATTTGGCTATTCCGAATGTACCAGGGGGCATTACATATCATACGCAATACCCCGTTTTGGGCAGCTTGTAACTGCCTTCTCAAACTTTTGCACGAGTATGCCCAGACGGGGCATGCATAACTAAGAATTGGACGCAACATGGTTTTGTAAATGAGCAACTTATTATCAATAGATAGAACACTGTTTCGAGCAATTAAGGGGAAGAGTGAAGCTTTACTAGCTCGAAACTTCCTGAGAATATGTGTAACGTGTGGGTTCCATGTAAGAGATTTACTGAGGATCACCCCAAGATAAGGGACCTGCTTGACCCAGGGAATGTCCACACCATACATTTGCAGGTGAGTCGGGAAATTCTTCTTAGTAGTAAACAGTATGGCATGTGTCTTGTCGACATTCACTTTGACTTTCCATTTGGTCAGCCAAGTCTCTAGCGAGTGGATGTGGTGTTGTAGCTGTTGTATTGCTGAACTAACAAATGCACTTTGCGTAAGGATCGCTGTGTCGTCTGCATACATGGCTAGTGTTGTGTTGTGTGTAGTGGGGATGTCGTTCACGTAAATATTGAATAGGGTAGGGCCCAGAAGGGATCCCTGTGGAACACCAGCCCGTATAGGCCGGTTTGTGGATAATGAACCAGAAACATGAACGACAAAGTGTCTACCGGTTAGGTAGGATTTAATTATGTTTGTGATGTAGCCTGGGAGTCCCAGGTTGTGTAATTTGTATATGAGGGCATCCAGCCATACTCTATCGAAGGCTTTGGCGACATCTAAAGAAAAGTCCACCAGTGACACGATGTTGTTGCATCCCACTGCTTATTAACTCAACAACTCTGTAGAGTTGATGCGTTGTCGAGTGCTTACGCCTGAACCCAAACTGATAGGGTATGAGGATCTTCTGCTCATCCAGGAAGATGTTTAGTCTATGTAGAATAACTGCTTCCACGATTTTGCTAATTGAGCTTAGCAAACTGATTGGTCGGTAACTCTCAGGAGCAGTCGCAGGCTTGTTGGGCTTTAGCAGAGGGACAATCTTGGCAGTTTTCCAACAAGTTGGGAAGTATTGCCATCGTAGTATGATATTCACTAACTTGGTGAAGTAGAGTATTATCTTGACAGGGAAGTGCTTGATCATCTCATTTGTGACCCCGTCTACTCCAGGGCTCTTCCTTTTCGCAATTCGCATGATATAGAGACAGACCTCCGATGGCATGGCTGAGATAATGTTGTCTGTGCATGGCTGTGTTGTAAAATTGGAGTGGAAGTCAGCAATAAGCTGTTCAGTGTCTGAGTCTGAAATGTTGTTAATGCAGAACTGAGATTCCAGATGCTGAGCTAAAAGTTCTGCTTTCTCAGTTCCGGTGTAATGGATCCGTTGAGGGCCGTGAAGGGGCGGAATGGCGTTATAGCATTTTTTGTACCTCTTCACTGCTTTCCATAAGGAGTTATCCTCTGCAGAAAGAGATCTGAGGTAGTTAGTCCAGCGATCTTGTGAGAGTTTATTTGTAAGAAACTTGACCGCTTCGCACAGGCGATTGAAGTTCCTTTTATCATCACGGTGTCTGGTACGTTGATACGCTCGTCTTGCAGCATTTCTCTCTTTAATCAATAATCTGAGCTCTTGAGGCTTGTGTTTCATACCAGGTTTAACTTCAACTTGTGCTTTCGCATAAGCATTTTGTATATTTTCAGTGAGGTCCTTGACCAAACTATCAATGTCACTCCCCTTGTGTATCGTGGGTAAAGTGTACTGGGTGTTGGAGAGGGCTTTGGCAAAGACCTGCCAGTCTGTACGAAAGGCCCTGGTGTCTGATGTAGTATATCTGCTGAGGTCCAGAATAATCCTAACAGGATTGTGATCACTTGAAAGTTCGTCCAGTACGGAAATATCCAGTGGAGAACTGGTGTTCCGCAACAGGAAAAAATCAATAATTGCGGTGGACCCAGCAGCATACCGTGTTGGGGTACTTGGAACTGCCAATTTAAACCGTGCCGACGCGGCCAAGGAATAAATCAGTCTGCCTGTTGCATTAGAAGTGTAGCAGTTCCATGCGCGGTGTCTTGCGTTCAAGTCTCCACCAATAATAACATGTGTACCAAGTGTGAGTAGAATTTCAAGGTCTGCCTGAACGACAGCCACAGGTCTCATGGGAGGAATGTAGGTGGAGACAAAAGTGTATGGAGTGTTAGTGTTAGTGTCTGTTGTGATGCAGATAGCTGTGGCCTCTACGGCTGAGAGCTGTGGAATGTTCACGTGATAATGGGGAATGCAGCGTTTGACAAGAAGTGCAGTGCCACCTCCACGTGGGCGAGGAGCGGTAGTACTTCTGTGCGACTTGTAGGTATAGTAATTTGCCACACACACAATGGTATTTTAGGGTCAAGCTTGTGTTCTTGTAGGAAAAATAAGTCGGGACTGTGCTCACTTGCAAAATCCCGCAATTCATTAATCTTACGGAACAAACCATTTGCGTTCCAAGTAATAATACTTAAGTACCTATTGTTTACACTATACATAATTATTCAACATTGGAAAAAACACTGTCAAAAACATTAAATAATATAAACAACTTATCGATTGAATGCTCCGCAGCCCGCAATTCAGGCATGGCTGCCGAGATTTTTTGAAAAACATTCATAACTGTGGTGCCTTTAAAAACATCACACACCTCTTTGATTATTTTGAGAAAGTCCATAAACATACCCGAACCAACAGTAGCACTAGCAGCACCACCACTGCTGACAGTCTGTTTATGCATATCAACATTAAAATTATTAACAGTATTTACAGATCTTTGAACGTCACCCTTGGCTACACTAGCATAACTGCGCCCGGAGGCAACAGCAGAATAACTCAAATTTGCATTAGAAGTACTAGGCATTTTTTATTTTAACACCATTATTTACATTTTCTGAGTTTGCACTCTTATTCACAGTTTTATTTCCGACTATGCGTCGGGGGAATTTCGGACATCCGCGATAATTGGCGGTGTGTCCTTCTTGCAGGCAATTACAACAAATAGGAGAGTCTAATTTTTTAACATTACATTTATCAGTACGATGTGCACCAGCACATTTCACACATCTTGGTTGTAGTTTGCAATTTTCGCTACTGTGGTGGAAGTGTTGGCAGTTGGGACACTGCACACAACATTTCCACGCACTTTATAAGGATGTATTTCAACAAAGAAACATAGCAGTTTTTTTAACATCATAAATAGATTGCACCCCTGGTACATTCTCTAAATGAACCTGAAACAAAGGCATAGGAGCCTTAGATTTGGTTCTGTGCATTTGGGTAACTTTTCGAGGTTTATACTTTAAATTAACCAGCTCCTCAAAAATGTCATCTGAGGGGCAATCGATAGGTAAACCTCTTATAACTATTTTGATGGGCCTATCCATCTTTCTGGTAATTAAATAATGATCTACACTTTTTTCATCCAAATATTTTGTTATCTGACGGTGATCATTTTCCGTTTTCGGAAAAACTTTTAAAAACTCGCCAGTAACTTTAGCTGCAAAGTCTAAATTAGTTTCAGCCCTCAATTTTTTAGAGAAATCCGAAAATTTAATTGGAGGCTTCACCATTATCGGTTTCACCTTCGGTTGTTGCATTTCAATAACCTCATTCTCTTCACTAACTTCCATATCATTATTAGTGGCAGTATTATCTGCATTAGCATTTTCACCTAGCTTATCAAATTTATTGCTAACATTAATTTCTGCATTAGCTTTGACTAATTTAGCAGGCCGAGCCGTATTACGCGGCTGTGTAAAGCCTTCTGAATCCTGATTTGTTACCATCTTTTCCTGACATCCTTTAACAAATTCTCGGCACTTCTCTTGAAAGCTTTAAAGAATTTAAAAAAAAAATGGGATCGCGTCAGATCCTGACATTGACGGTTATAAAGCAGATTATTGTGGTAAAATACTTATAAGAAGAATACACACAGTGAAGTCTAATTTAGCTGCATGTGAAACCTATTTAGGAAGGGTTATCATGGGCAACATGTCCGGAGACAAGTTTGATGAAATTTCGCCCCACCTGGTGACTTCCTTACTAATTCAACATTCTTTTGCGGTTGACATATGGAAACTAAGTACTATAGGTATAAAGGATCCTACTGAAACAAA